AATGTTGCACTGGGTTCCACGCTGGACAAATTGAATTGACAAAGCCGTCTCTATCACTCCATTCCCAGGCCGCCTCCACTATAAAAGCCTTCTGTGAAAAATGGGCAATGAGGTAACCCTAGGGCAGACCGCTTGTCTTAGAATTCTAGTCACTCTGTAGGCCTCAAGTTCTTTGTAACAAGAATTTCATTTTTTTTAATTTTAAATAAATAAATAAGATAATGTTTGGTTATTAAGTCAACAGATATTTGTTGGGTAACTACCACACCAGGCACTGTTCTGAGCACTGGGGATAGAGCAATGAATAAAATAGACAGAAATCCCTGCCCTCAGGAAGCTTACATTCCAGTAAAGAGCCAGACAGTGAATATTTTAGGCTCTGGTATGGATAGTATTGGAGTGTGATCAGGGCAGTCCTCACTGAGAAAATAACACCTGATAAAGACCTGAAGGAGGTGACCAAGGAGGTGAGAGGGTATCTAGGGAAAGAACATTCCAGGACAGGGACTATGAACTGCAAAATCTCAGAGACAATGGTGTACTTGTTCATTTTGAGGAACAGCAGGTGGACAGTTTGTCTGGAGCAGAATAAGTGAAATGAGATTAGAGAAGTAATGTGTGACCAGATGGCATACGGCTCAAATGCCATTTTAAAGACTGATTTTTACTCTGAGTGAAATAGGAAGCCCTTGCAGTTTTAAGCACAGGAGTGACCTGCTCTGACACACTAATTTTAATGGAATTGTTCTGACTGCTGTGTTGAGAATAGATGATGAGGAAGCAGGGAGTCCAGTTTGGAGGCTGTTTGCAATAATCCAGGTGAGACCTGATGGACCAGATGGTATGCTAGAGGTGATGAAAAGTGGCAGGATTCTGATATAAGTTAAAGATAACCTGACCAGAATTTTATCTTGGATTGGATAGAGAATGTGAGAGAAAGAGAAGAGTCAGTGATGACTGCAAGATTTTTTGCCTGAGAAATTGGATAGATGGAGACCACTAGAGACTGAGGGAGGGGAAGGAAGGAGAATCAGAGTGTTGGGTATGGGTATGTTAAGTTTGAAATACTTATTAGGTGTCTAAGTAGAGATGTTGAGAAGCCAGCTTCTATAAGAGTCTGGAGATCCAAGAAGAGGTTTAAACTCAGCATGTAAATCTAAGAGTTGTCAATCCAGAGAGGGTATTAAAACTATAAAACTGATGAGCTCATCAAGGGATTGAGTATAGAAAGAAAGAGGAGTCCAAGCATTGTGCCCTGGGGCGCTCCAAAGTTAGGAATCCAGGGAGATGAGGAGATACCAGCAAAGGAGACAGAAAAGAGCAACCAGTAAGACAGGAGGGAAACCAGAAAGAGCAGAGTTGTGGAAGCGAGCGGGAAAGCAGACACTGCAGAGGGGAACAAGCAGTTGCATCTCTTGCGCCTGAGAGTGTGTGGAAACTGAAGACTGAGAAGTGAACCATGGCACGTACAGCATGGAAACCACTGGTAGCATTGACAAGAGCAGTAGTGTGTGAGCAGAGTGAACTGGGAGGAATGCGAGCCTTGCTGGAGTAACTTCAAGAAGAGTGTTTTGTTTTGTTTTGTTTTGTTTTTAGAGAAGGAAAGAACTAAGATGATAACTGGAAGGAAGGAGATCAAGAGAGGCTTTTAGGGTGTTTTGTTTTAAGTTCATAGGAAGAACAGCATTTTTGTGTGCTGGTAGACAAGCTCGAGGAGAAAAGGAGAAACTGAAAGAAAGGGAAAGAGAGGGAGGGAGAGACAGGGGCGAAGAGAGAGAATTGCTGGAGCAGATTCCATGGGCAGGCACAACAGGCTGGGATCTGGTGCGAGAGTGTGGGTGGGATGGGTTTATTCTACTCTGTCAAATGCTTTACATGGTGTTTAGCACTTAGTAAAGGCTCAAAACTGACAGATATTAAACCACCAACTGTCAATTAAAAGGGTTTGGCTAACATGATCTTACAGTTCCACTGCAGCTACAACATTCAATAGGTAAGTGTAAGTAAGTTGACTAGAACAATGACAACAAAATGAAACATTTAGAGGCAACGTTGAATTACACTGACTAGCATCTAGGACGTTGGTCTAAAAGGTAAACAGAGATACCTGAAGGAAAGCGGGAAGAATGATGGGTTACTGTTTGCATTCGAGTCATGAAGTGAATCAGCCAGAAGCACGATCCCACTAGGTACCTGACTCCTTGTAGATGCCCTGCGCTGATTAATTAATTACTTTGCCCTTTGTAAATTCAGCATGATGAAAACCTCTATCTCCTGCCTCACAAATATCACATGGTGTCATGTTATTTCCATGCTATTTTCATGTTCTTCCACTGAATTTTATGCTGATTCATAAAGTCTAAGCTGTAGGGCAGAGCTCTGGTGGGACCCAGACAGAGGAAGGTGGGGGGTAAGTCATAAATGCCATTTCCACTGGGAAGAAAATGGAATTGGAGCAATTACAATCTCAACTGTGTTCCTAATATCAACATAGCTTTCCATAAAAAGTATCTCAGCAAACATGTAGCTTCATGAAACCATATTTTGTTATTTAATACTAGCACCTTTTTACTATTATAATAATTGTGCTTCCCTAAGGGCAGGTAATAATTTCAATGATTCTTAATTCGTCACTTATTTCAATGTAAATTTGGAGATATGTTCCTTTGGAAAAAGACGAGCCCCCAGGTGTAATAAAATCATCCTTAAGAATGTAACAATTTGACAACACGCCATTACAGTAAAAGCAACTTTGGAGAAATATTAATAAAAATACTAAAACTTCTACTTTTACGTTGGTGAACTCAAAACCAAATCACTAAAAGCATTAAAAATGCAGGAAAGCCCTAGAAACCCACTGTGGCTATCTATCTCCCCTGTTCTTACAATCATTCCACTCCAAGGACGGCAATCACTAACGTGATAGAAGCAATCAGTTTATGTTCTACCTAACTCAAGCCAGTGGGTATGCCATCCAGAACTACCTTTCCTGTTTTCTGCATGTTTCAAAATTGCAAAGTTTCTTTCCTGAACTCTGCACAGTAATTTTAGTACAACGTATGTATTGTCCCTGAAGAGGAAACAGTAAACTGAAATATTTAAAGGGGCCTGTGGCCAGAACGTGTAGAAGCTGACGTCTGACTATTGATTGACAGTTATACCAGTGCTTTTCACCTGTTGCTCAACCTAATAATTTGTTTATCTTAGAGAAACTATGTCAAATCTGGCCCACCACATATTTTTGGAAATAAAGTCTTGCTGCAACACAGCCCCACTCATTTGTTTATTTATTGTCTATAGCTGCTTCCGCAAGGCGAAGTTGAGGAGTTATGAGACCACATGGCCCACAAAAGCCTAAAATATTTACTATCTGATCCTTTACAGGAAAAGGTTGCCCAAGCCTCGTTTAACTAATGGCTGGTGTCCTCATTAATTGTTGGGCCGTAGTTAGGTATCCAAATGCTAACAGAAGGCGGAATCAGAGTACAGAATCAAGTCATCACCTAAAGAACCCAACTTCTATAAGTACAGTGTGTGCTGTCCTTGAGAGTGAGATTTTTACATTTTTCATTGATTTCCTAAATTCAGAATTTATTAAATGAATTTCTATTAGGTGACAGGCATCCACATGTCAAGCAGACTTCCTTTTGAGGTTATCATGGGAAGAAAATTTTTCCAAGTGTTTCTATCAAAATGCAAATGTTTGAAATTCATTTTTGTCCCTCTTTAGTCTATGATTTTTATAACTTGTTTTCTACCTCACACATATTCACACAGCATCAAAACCTCCTAGCTCACTTTATCGTATTGTTAAATTAGGGTTTTGAAAAATATAAAAGGATTCTTAAAAGATTAGTTATTCTTAAATTATTGTCATTTATTTTGAAATGTCAGTGGACAGATGCTTTCCAATACCACATGTGTGAGAAGAAATATATTGAACTGAATAATCCTCCAAATGGTGGTATTTTTTTTCCACTGTTAATTTTTAAAGTCCTAATTTTTGTCTGTCCTGAGCAAGAATGTAAACATTTTAATTTTTTCAACAGAGTACCATAGTAAGTTTATAGCTGCTGTGCCTTAGACAACCTATATTTAGGGAAGGAAAATTCCTAATGCAGTTTACAATGATGTCAAGAAACAACATGTATCTGCAGGCAAAGATAAGAAAAACATTCAGGGGGTACACAGTGATAGCTCTACTTAAATAAATAAACTTTTGGTACTAGTGATTAGGTACACAGGATTATTATATGTTTAATTGGCCAATGTGACAATTTGGAATTACTTCCAGTCTCATTTAATTGGATTCGGAGTCTCTGGGGAAAAGAAATAGAGAGGCCTAGCAGAGAAACAGTCATAAAAGTAAACTGTTTTTCTAAAGGGTGCTAAGCAATGAATTAATATCCATTTTTAATATCCCCTCAGCTTAATAAGACTAACGCAATGATTCTACAGACTAGATACTAAAACCAATTCAATTAAACAGAAAGGTTGGGGGAGGGGAGTGTCTGTTGAATTGGAAAGTTTGTATTTTCAATTTTAAGGAGGCTAATTTAATCAAAGGTGAATAATCTTTAACTCAGGTAAAGTCTGAGATATGCTTAAATACCTGCATAATCGTTAGCTATACATGCTGTGCTAGGTTTGAAGGTATTTTGGAGTCCATAAAATATGTTACTCTATAAATGCTTGGAAGCTTAATAGGAAGCCACCAGAACAAAGCATTCTCCCGCAGTCTTTAAATATTCTTATACTGTACAAACAGAAAAACCATCTAGAAGACAAATGGCTTGTTGCTACTCTTACAGTTTTAGTTTAGCTACCAAAAAACAAAAAACCTACTTTCTACATTCTAAAACATGCCTTATGCTTTGCTCAATATTAGTCTAGTCAGTACATTAAAAAATCTTCTTCCTGAGTATTTATATATACTCGCTGTTGGGTTTTCCTTCTGTCCTATAAATTTGTTTTTTAAAAAAATCTGTCCTTGTTCTTAGGAGTGCCATGATTGCTGACTACATGTTCTGGCTCTGTGGAAGAAGTGACCAGTGTGTAAGCAAGCTCATCAAACTGTATTGGCAGGTAAAAATTGATGCCCCAACCAGGGAGGAGGAGCCCGTCTCATTTTTAGAACCAAAATGAAGGATTGGTGCTTAAAAGACTGCTGAAAAGGTAGCTCTGGGCATATCAATCAGAAGGACACCACTCAGTAGTAATGTATTTATAATGAAGTAGATGTTCTGAGACTAATTTTAAGGGCAAAATTCAAGGTTGTTAACCCTTGGCCCATACTTCAGTTTTACAACCCAATAAAAATTTGAGGCATCCCAGGAACTGTTTTCCCAGGCATGCTGCTGTAATGACATGATCTTTTAAAATATGAATATTGTATTTTCATAGATTCTTCTTGATCTATGACCTATAAAAGCAGATGCTAGAAGTAATACTAATTACATAATAAAAGAAAATGCAGAGGCCAGTGGTATTTCTTGGGTAACATTTAGTATTTGGAAACATAACCAATAACAAAGTGCAGATCTTCTTTCTTCTTCTTATTCAAAATGGCAGCAAGAACTCATCCCAAAGGTCAATGAGATGTCAAGAAGAGAGTCATAATTTCTTAGAGTTATAAGGAGAATTTAGAATTTACTAGTTCAATCTCCCTCACAACATACAAAACTGTTCTCGTGCTATCCTCCCCCCACAAGTTATCAATGACTTTCTGCTGAAATATGTCCAAAACGAAGAGCTCACTTATCCCCAAGAAATAACATCCAATTTGCTAATTATTGAACTGTTTTCCTCATTTAAAGTAGATTTCTACTCCCTTAAAATTTCCATCAAGTGGCTCCCCAGTGAAACCACATGCACCAAATGGAAATTCATTTCCAAATAAAATATTTGAAATATTTGAAAATCGACAACAAAAGCCAACTGCCTCCTCTGTGTCTTCTCCTATCCAGACTGTGTGGGGTGTTTTCTTCCTTGTATTTCAAGATGATTTAATTTAATTGGATATGAACCTTTTGAAACAACTAGAATAAGATCTGCTAAAATAGTAGTATGAAAGTAAGAAATAATCAGTAACAGTGACACAACCTGATTTTCCTCACATTTTCACTGTTGTGTCTTGGTCCCTAGTATTCTCTCTATATATTGTGTGTTATCCTCATTAGACAGTAAAGTCTTAGGTTTACCATATAAAATTCTCTGTAATTTGTATGGTCTATCTAAATATTTGGAGCTCAATTTACATACTACAAAAAATAAGCATTTAAATTAGTCCTAGTATACTTGAGACCTATAATTATTATGAAAAAAAAAAGTTGACCTTCAGGTAGACAAAACTTTAATATCAAAAAATTATTAATTTGCTGATAAGTTTAAGATTTTCCTAAGGGAATCTAGAACAGTAGTAGTTGCCTCTAGGCATGTGAATAAATAGTTGTAAAGAATTGCTAGATATGAAAAATAAGCAAATCATATGAGAAATAGATATAGTAAAGGAAGGACTTTTCATTAAAGGATTTCAGAGGCTTCTGGAGAGAGGTGGGGAAGGAGTTGAATCTTGAGGATTAGATAATGTTCAGCAGGCCCAGCATAGTCTAGGTCCCAAATGAATGCTTGTTTTAATTTATTCATTCATTAAACAAACATATATTAAGTACCTATTGTGTTTTCTACATTGAAATAGGAAAAAATGTGTCCAATATTGGTGCAACCCAAGACAGATTAAGAGCTTAAAATTTGGGGCCAGCCCTGTGGCTGAGTAGTTAAGTTCGCTCAATCCACCTCAGCAGCTGGGGGTTCATCGCTTCGGATCCTGAGTGTGGACCTACACACTGTTCATCAAGCCACGCTGTGGTGGCATCCCACACAGAAAAACTGGAATGACTTACAACTAGGATATACAACTACATACTGGGGCTTTGCAGAGAAATAAAAAGAGGAAGATTGGCAAAGATGTTAGCTCAGGGCCAATCTTCCTCACCAAAAAGCATCAAAAAAAAAAGAGCTTGAAATTTTTGTAAATAATTTTTTTTTGTTTCCTTCAGCTTTCAAAGAGCATCTCTATTTTAAAAGAGTATCTCTATTTTATTTACCTCAAACTAAGAAAAAAATCTCCACTTACCAATACATGCATGTTTGCTATATAAAAAAGGAATAAAACAAATACTATTATTTTACTACTGTGCATTAATAATAGATAAGAAAAACATATTTCTCTTTGTGTTCTCTTTTTCTCCTTTAATCCGAAGCAATTTGGTATATTGGGAAAAAGCCCTATTCCGGAAGTCAAGCCTGATTCAGTCCAAGTTCTAACACCAAATAGTTATCTAATCTGAGGCAAGTTAGTCTCTAGAGGAGTTTCAACTAGAAAATAAGAGATCACTAGCATAAAGTATTTGAGAAGGTCTATTCTTTAGCACTGAATCTCATATTTTTAGGCACATCCAAAAATGATGCCACAAATTTCAAGAAAAAAAGAAGTAATGTAATTAGAAATTGCATCCTGCAAATAAATTCCATAAGCTACATCCCTCTAGCCAGCCCCAACATCAGCATACCACACCATTGTCTCACCAGTTATGTGCTTCCTTCTGCTAGTCATCCTCTCCCTGATGTCACTTCAGACGTATACACCTTCCCCCCCAAACTTTATTCTGTCCTAAATCCAAGTGAGTTTGGGGGCATTGCCATAGAGTGCCTAGTCCATGTCAACTTTAAAGACAGGGATGCCCCACTACCCAAACCACCATCAATTACACTGGTGAATTTAAGAATGTCCCCAAACATCACAGACTGGAAGTTGTATCTGCATGTATAGACATTTATAGACATCCATTAAGGCTGAACAGACAGGGGCTATTTTCACTACCTTTCTAAGTGGAGAAGTTACTATACATCTTTCTTTCAACCGCATAAAATCCCAACCACTCTTGCCAGTTATACTTTTTAGAAATCTTAAACAGGAAGTGGAAAATTTCAGAAGGTACGAATTTGAGAACTGGTCTACACCTACTCTCATAAACCATTGACTTAAAAAACTCTTAGATGCAAAAGAACAGACCTTTGCTTTGGTGAGCTCAATAACACCTTTCAATTATATTAAGAATATTTTTCATATCATCAACCCAGCAAGAAAAAAAAGGCATAAAGCTCTATACTATATGACAGCTCACACTGGGATACAGCCCTTTGAATAAAAGTGTTTGCATATAGTATTCTATAATAGCATCACTTCTTCTAGAGAGGGTTGGAAATAACTTGTTACAACTGTACTTGCATGCATGTCTCTGCAACCTAATACCTGTCTTCTGTTATCAGCGACCTTCCTCTTCTCAAACACACCTCCCAAGACCTTAGTACAATTCTGAACTCATAAGCAAAATGGAAAGTCCCTAGTCAGACTTTGAATTAGCTATTTTGAAGCAGCAACCCTTATTTATTTATATGTTGCTCCTAAGTAATAATATTATTCCAAGAAGAACTTTATCATAAACTCTAGTCCTCCTCCCAAGCCCACTTAGATCCATGGCTAGATTCAGGAAATAAGCCAACAAGACTCCATCTTCCACTCTTATTTTCCCGCCTTCACTTTCAGCCATGCTCTCAGCCATGGGGGTTGTCTCATGCGTGGCTTTATCTCCTGCAGTGTGAGTAACAGAACCAACTCTGGTCCTCATGGCTCAGAAAAGTGGAATGAAAAAAGGTGATAACAGCTAATTTTGTTGCAAAACTCCCACAAGATGATTGCAGAGGAACCCCACTAAACAGAGGCAAGCTACCTGATCTACTCATTCCCTATCTTAATTGTTCTTATTCCTTTCTTGAGTCAAAAGCCTTCTAAGGGGTCCAGCCCCATGGTGTAGTGGTTAAGTTCAGCACGCTCCACAGCCTGGGTTCATGGGTTCAGACTCCAGGTGTGGACCTACACCACTCATCAGCCATGCTCTGTGGTAACCCACATATAAAGTGGAGGAAGATTGGCATAGATGTTAGCTTGGGTCTAATCTTCCTTAAACAAAAAAAGAGGAAGATTGGCAACAGATGTTAGCTCAGGGCTAATCTTTCTCAGAAAAAAAAAAAAAAAAAAAAAAACTTCTAAGCATCTAATTCAATTTACAAGCATCCACCTAGAAACAATACTCATAAACACACAGAAAAAAGTGTGCTTACTATTTATCTGATTGCATTGGAAAGTGATCTCCTACACATAGTCAGAATACCAAAGCAGCATTCATAGAGAATTATGGCTTTCTCACTCTTCAAGAAGGTTGTACAATTCTTCTGGAATAAGAAATTGAAATATCATATTTGACATCACATCAATGACAATGTTTCATTTTAATGGCAATAAGAGGTAAAACCCTGATTTACAGTCTCTAATAGCAAATGGACTCAGAACTCCTACAGATCACAATCTCTCAAATGGGTAGGTATGTGTCAAGAAATACCAAAATTTGTATTACATCATTTCCCTTGTCCTCAAGTCAATGAGATTATCTTTGTTAAGTCCATATCATCAAGACTGTCAGCATTTTGTTTCAATTTTAAAGCCATCTGAACAAAAAGTGACCTTCATAAAAGATAATCCATTTGCTGAGTGTCTGTAGATTTTTGTCCCTAGAAACTCTCAAGACTGTCTGTCTCACTCCCAGTATTGGAAAATTCATGTTATTATTTGACTCCAGCAACCTCATTTAGAGTAGCAGCTTGACTAAAAAAGCTCATGGTTTTTCAGCAGCATCTTTAGGAGTAAATTCAGCATTTCAATCAAAAGATTTGCCTCCTTTATGGGAATAAGATATCAGCCATGATACAGCTAGTCCTGGAATGAACGTCTCACTATCAATTTATTCTAAGAAGGGGTTTTCTTTTCTCTTAAAAAATTTTAAATAATTAACCAAACCAAATCACTTCTGAATCTCTTCTCTGGGTTACCAACAAACTTCTCTAATAGAAAAGAACTTCATGGTATGCTCTTCTATCTTGACAAAGATCTGCTGAAAAGGCACTGATTTGGGTTCTTGGTTCTGAAGAAGTTGAAGACTTTCACAGGAGTAAAAGACCTCTTTTGG